CTACCGTTTCCATTACAAAAACCAATGTACTTTGATACGCGAGTTCAAAGCACGTGCAATTCCATTAGAAAATAGAAAAAGAATAGAAAAAAAAAAAAGAGAGAGAGAGAGAGAAAAGAAGAAAACGAGTGTAGAAAAAGAAAAAAAAATAGAGACAGAGAAGAAAAAGAATGAGAAATAAGAAAGTAAAGAAGGTCGACATAGTATCAGGATAGGATCATTTTTGTAGAAACGAAAGATCGTTGAGAGTTCACGTTTCCTATCGATGTGTAAAACTGATACTGTATTGTATAGAAGAGGAATGATTCGGGTAGGGGTACAAGAGGAGTACGGGGTAGGAAGAAAAGGGTTCATACTAGCTGCACTAGTCGTGCTTGGCATCAGTAATGAAGGTAACTCTGATCTTGGCCGATGTAATTACAGGAAAATTGCTACCGCATTGTGAGCCCACTACTGGCTCTTCGACAGACTCCTATACACTCATGCAAAACACACGTATATATATATATATATATAAAAGTAATAGGTATATAGTAGGTGTATATACATCGAATACTCATGTAAGCGAAATACACCAACAAGCAAACTGAATTATCGTGGGAGTAATAATGGCGTTGTACCGATCTTCGATCGGTTTATACTCGTGGATAGAATGCAACACACGAGTGCTTCGAATCCACCTATTGGATTTCTCTCTTTCTATTTTCTATCTCTTTCTACTTTTTCTTTATTTCTCTCTTGTGTATATATATATATGTGTGTGTGTGCGTGTACGTGTGTAAATATATATACGTATATGTATATATTCAGTCGTTTACTGGACCACCCCATTTCGACTGTGGCTGGACACGAAAACGGTTGTATCATGTTGTAACTACTACATTGATGTCGATAACGTCACCGTTAACTCAATTAATTTGGGATAATCCTAATTAGTAATTTTACTCGTTTCTTATTGGCAAACTCGTAATGCAGCTTACGTTTCCAATCGATTGAGATCATATCGATTCGATCAATTTATAAATCCTGCGCTTTTTTTGTTTCTTTTCTTCGTTAGATGAAGAGATATTCTATTTTGGAAGCAAATTGTTCTCGTTCTTTGGTTATATTTTGTGTATGTGTGTGTGTATTGTAAGTTTATTAAAAAGAAATTCTATTGAAACATCTCTTATTTATTATTGTAGATTATTATTTTCTTATTTTCAGATCTCGATGAAACTCTCGTGTTAAAAGGAAAACTCGTGGATGTCAGGATTCGAACGAGATTTAATCAGATCGACGATGAAAAATGTGACGAATCCTGCCAGGATTTTTCTACTACGAGTAAGAAGGTGTTAAGAGGTAATAATGAAAAGAAAAAAAAAAACAAAAAGAACTAGATAAATACTTTTACAATTAATCTTTATTTTATTGTTGTTATACTTAAATATAGATCTAAAGTTCCTACGTTATTATTTTAATTTTACAAATTAAAAAAATGAAGAATAATGAGATTGATCTTAATAAGAAAAAAAACAAAAAACAAAAATTAAATTCTAAATAAAATCATCGAAGAGATCTTGCGTATAGGGGAAAAAAAACTATATATAAAAGTATTGCTATGAGTTATGGTAGTGAAACAATGGGAATAGAATATTTACGGGAGAAACAATTGGATTGAAGATTTAATCCAAAACTCGTCACCTTTCAAATTTCTCGAACTTCGTGTCTAGGTTCGTTAAGTAGTATCCAAAGTTTCAGATACCAATGAGAAAGAGAAAGAGATAATAGGTATATAGATAACGAGATAAAGATAGATAGATAGATAGATAGATAGATAGAGATAAGGATAGAAAGACAAGCAGATCCAGGTTCGATTCCATTCGACTCTGAATTTTTCCAATCTTCTCGAGGGATTAAATCTTCTTATGGAACATGATTCACCTGGCCCAATGGCGATCTTGTTCACCAAGAACTGGATAAAAAGAAATGAAAAAGAAGAAGAAGAAGAAGAAGAAGATCCAAAGCTAAGGCGGATTAAACGAACGACCAAGTAGTACTAACATTCGAAGAATGTGAAAGATAGGTTATAGAAAAAAATCCGATTGATTAATTGGGAAGGATAAATTTATTTCTGTAAACGTAATAACTAATTTAGACATAGATAAAATACGAAATGAAACAATACTTCTAGTTGGATATTATTAATTCTATACAAATAATAAACGAATTAATTGATATTAAACAACGAATTAAATAAAATTCGACAGAAAAACGGGGGAAATCAAATTGATACAATTAGAAAATGAATAATTCTAATTAGATTGTAATTGGATAACAATATATGATATATTCGGATAATTCAAATATAGAAGAAAAGAAATATTAAGTGATCATCGAAATGTATCTGTAACGAGTAATAATAAATTTTGTATATGATAGAAAAAAAAAAAAACAAACAAACAAAAAATACAACACAGTTTCTTTCTAGTCCGTGCAAAAAAAAAAAAAAAACAAATAATAAATTAATTTATTAAAATAGAAATAATATATGGTTAGAAATGAAATATCAATTAGACGAACTAAGTGGATTTATCGTTTTTATTTAGCAAAGATAGAGAAAAAAATTCGATAGGAAGGAATTAAAAGTACGGGATTAAGGAAGGAAAAGAAATATATCATCCAAATGGATCTAGGACGAGTAGTATATCTGGATATGAAGAACGGTGATTGTCTAGCCTGAAGGCAGCAAGTAGAGAGTTTGCTGAAAAGCTCAGTGTCTCACGACCCCCCCCCTACCTCCCTCCCCTTCTCCACTTCTTCTTCTTTTACTTCTTCTTCTACTTCTACTTCTACTTCTTCTTCTATTTTTTGTCTCTATCTCTACTTACTTACAGTATTTTTTTCCTTCCTTCGTTTTCCCCGAGAACAGCAACGTCGTGGAACGCCCTTTAATTTCCGCCAGAATGCTCTTTTAGAAGGATCATTATTTTGTGTCCAGATTTCGAGGTCTTTTGGATCGGGAAAAGGTTATTCGTGACGTATTAATCGTTCAATACCGGAAGAACGATATTAGCTTTTCGGAGATGATTAATTTTGTTCTTTTTTTGGTAAAATTTTCTATAAAAGTTTCTTGTCAAAAGTCAATCGCAAAAAGATATTTTCGTTTTTCGTGTAGTTTTTTTTTGTTTTTAAATCGCATAATTATTACTAACGTTCAACGCAATTGAAAGTTGTATGAACGAATGAAATTATTTTCGGAAATTGTCTTCTTTTTTTTGTCAGTAATTTGTATATTCTTGCGAATGAATTATATCGTATTTATAATATGTAAAATCTCGCGAAAAGTTTATTTCAATTTTATCAATATGATCGTAAAATGTTTTCAATTCGTTCCTTTCATTAAGAATTATCATTGAACGTGGATATATAAATCTTTCGAACGAAATTGTTTTCGAATGGATTTCGTTTATTTTTTTAATTTGATTTGTTTTTTTTTTTTTTTTCTTCAAATCATTATCATCAATTTTCTCAAAAATTTCTATCTTCATCTTATTCTCGTTTATTTTTTGGGAAAACTGAGCTATATAACAAACAACTTTATTCGCTTGCCATGAAAATAGCTATGAACTTTCTCGCTTCCGTGTTCTTCTTAGTGCTCGGATTTCTGTTATTTTACGAGAGTTTCCTCTCTCGTGCAAGCGGAACCCCCGTAATTATCCTAATAACGCTAAATCTCGTAAACTGAATTAAACTGCTTAAGATATTCGCGATTAAATCGTTTCGATCCACCCTCGACCATGATTTATCCTTTAATTGCAATTCACCGAATGATTCGCGAATAAATGTTACATTTCAACAAGATTTTAATTAGAAATCCTTCCAATCAAATCGTACAAATTTTATCAACCCCGTCCCCCCCCCCAAAAAAAAAAATCTATTTGTTGATAATAAAGATATTTAAATCGTTAACTTAATTACGTTACATCCTGTAATGTAATAAAGAACGCGATTAATTTTTGGACAAATTGTGAAACCTTTCAAATGAAACCTAAAAATTTGTGAGTGTGTGTTGGTGAATGATTAGATTTGGATGTGTAATAACTTGAGAAGAGATAGGAAAGTATTTACAATAGGAAATTTATTAAAATTTTATTACAGTATTTATTGTAACTTGTGTAAAGGGGTAGGCCTCTATCACAACTTTGATCAGTAATAATAAAATAATACTATTCAAGGCGTTATAATTAATTTTATTAGTATTAAAAATATATTTTTTTTTTGGTATCATTTTAATTATCTTTCCTTTCTCTCTCTCTCTCTCTCTCTCTCTCTCTCTCTCTCTCTCTTTATTTCTTAAATTTTTACTGAATTAATCTAGATTAAGCGTACAAAGAGACCAATGCTTGTCATTCCACGAGACACTCGTACGAAATTGCATTTCTTTTTTTTTTTTTTTTTCCCCATGTCTCCTCTTTCTGCATTTTCGCAGTGCAGAGGAAATCTCCTTCTTTGGTATAGGACGATACCAACGGGGAACACATCGTTAGCCGGAAATTACAACGAGCCTTTTCCCCTTCAGCTCGGTTTTCCAAGATAACTTCTCGTGCTTCTCTTCGTTGGTAGCTTAAGAAAAAAGAAAAAAAAAAAGAAAAAAAAA